AAACAAGAGAGCGTCAGTTAGGCAGCAACTCTAATTGTAACTTATCTACTTCAGTTACCAATTGTAACTTATCTACTTCAGTTACCAATTGTAACTTATCTACTTCAATTACGAAAGTTTTCGGAACTTTGACAGTCGACATTCCGGCAGAAACTCGACGACATTACGGCTGTTGTAAGCAAGGATCGCAGTGCAGCAAGAAAATAGTCTAATCAGTGACGTCATTAGATCTGCTTCAAGGGAGCTTGAGGCACCTAACTATTCTTAAGACTCTTATATAATTTTATGTTCATATATTAAAATTATAATTTTTGTCAAAAATACCGAACAATTCAATATATGGCCTAAATGTGTTGTTAATTATATAAACATACAGCACATTCCGTGTTAGTTGTTGCACTGGATTTAAGATGTTATATGTTAGTAAAATTAAACGTCCGTGCATTTATATATTTTACATCTTATAGGGACGAAATCATCCAGCATTTTCTGGTTCTGACGCATATAAGCTAGGAATAAAATTGGTAGTCACGCATAATTTTTCTCGTAAAAAATTAGAATACCTCAACCCATATTCCAATATATTATCTTGATCGGTCTTTGACGACGACGGTTTTCCTATAAGCGTTCCAGTTGAAGCCTTTTAGGCAACTAATGAAATAGAATAGCTGATTGAATGCCTACTTCATTAATGAAAAGTTATATGTTATTGAAATAAGGATTCCACTAAGCACGAGGCCAGGTTCCATAATTCCATAATTTCATAATTCATTAAGCATATTTTGCACTCGAAACCGCCTTCAAATGAGCGCTTATATAGGAGTGCGGGAAACAAGAAACGCCAGATAAATAAAATGGCATGCATAAGAAGGATAAATACATAATGCTCATCACCTATACCATGAATTCGAAAATGTTGAGTGTGGTATAAACGTAAAACATTCATTCTTCAGCTAGAGATGAGAAATTGGTGGTATATGGTAGGCGCAATATTAAGATTTTCGAAGGCTTATTATAGGTCGTTCATCCCATAACTACATTTGCTACCTACTTCATCGTGGATTTCATTTAAAAAATCATTTTCAAACTAAAGTAAACGAATGCGAGCTCGATATCCATACATTTTAGTCTCTTCACACCATCTGCAAAACTATTTTCTCTGGTGTTAAAACGATCTAAACTTACGTGAATCAAGTTCTATTTCAGAGGTAAAAACAACCTGTTTAATACCATGTTCAAGGTTGCAAATGCACATTTCTTTCATAGTGTTAATGAATAAATTTAGCGTTAATTGGTCCCTAAGGTTTAGCCTGTAGGTAGATAAGCGGTTTGACCCTTCGAAATTTTAGGTAAATTCGCCAGCCAGTAAAGACCAGTGCAGTTAGCAATTTGTAAACTTTCAGGTCCCAATATGAATCCATGAGCCCACATAATTTAAAATTATGCAGATCAGTGAAGTTTAAATTAAGGTTGAGGAAATGGCACAAGTGTGTGGCGGTTCTAACTTATAAGCCTTGGTCCCAATAACTTTGACCTTTTTGGCGAAAAACGGAAACCTACTCTTAAGTGTGTAATGCTTACACGTTGTATCTTCTACTAAAATTCCTTTCTCTCGCTGTATTTACATCATTTGACCCTTTTTGTACGTTCTTATTATACTAAAAACACAATAGCAGACAACGAACGGGTTTTATCACGTCAATGTTATATTCAAGTCATTGGAACAGCTCTGCTGAATTCACTTCCCATGGTAGCGTTGCGAAGCTCTAACAACCACACCTTACCGCACCACAGTCCGAGGGACACTGAGTCTCTTGACTCTGAGTCTTGCGTCTTCAGTCTTGACTTATGTTGGATGGCAACGACTGGAACGTGCATGCAGATTCCAGACAAGCGAATCTTGAATGATTCGTAACATCGAGAGACGCCCTGGCGACAACTGATGAGAAAATGCTATAAGCTACTTCAGTACTTGACTCGTATAAACTTACTTGCCGGCTAAACTATCAGTTGCTACTTGTAGCCGATAGTACTAGCGGGCGAAACTTGCCCCTTTGACATAAAGGTGGAGAGAAAAACAACTTTTCGATACATTAGTTTTCCAACTATTATTTTTTATGTTAACACCTTCCAAAGACGTCCCTTCCAAAAGATTTTTCAGCTAAACCATTTTTAAGCTGCCCCAGTAACATTCAAAATTTAAAAAATGTGAATTTAACCGTATTATTGAATTTAATATTAATTTTCGATTAGAAGCCTAGATTATTGTGGTGATACTTCAGAATAAATATAAAAAATTCGGTCATAAATCAATGGGAAAATATTGCACAAGTCAATGCTAAGGGCTTCTTTAGCCTTATTCCCATTTTAACCCAAACGCGAGCCCCAGCCCTATAAATTAAACTAAATTATATTAAATTAAAAAAAACGCCTATAGGTTGACCGAAGGATTTTGCCGTAGCGTGTGTTCCTGTGCAAATGTAGGCCTTTTAATTGGACTCAATAACTACATTAAAATCTTTTAATTGTCTTGCAGTTTATATCTTTGATTTCTATTCTATAAAAGTTTTTCATGAAGTATTTCGTATTGGGCAAATGGCATCAATCCCTTGAGTGAAACTGGATGCTGTAAAAATACAATTACAATTGCACCAAATTGTGAGGATATTAAGGTACGAAAATTTTATTCAACTACTAATTAGGATGCCGAAACAGTACTTCCGGCCCAAACTCTTTCTAGCTCCTTGTATCTTACACTTCAGCGCAACTTCACGTCTGCTGCCAAAAAGAATATCAAATTTAAATGAATTTAAATTGGATATAGAGCAATTTATGAGTTACAAAAAGTAATTCAAATTAGTAATCCATATATAAATTTGATCAATTATCTAAGTCGTTGACACATTTTAATGGCATTTAATGCGTCACGACGCATTTACAAAAATTAATGTGAAATGTGGACGCATTTAATGGTTCTTACATGATCGGAAACGTTCGATATTGAATTATAACAATTACACCCTGGATTAATACCGTGACCTCTCATTAAAAGTTTTCAGTGGGAAGATCGTTGATCTCCCAACGGATCCACGCTCCGCAGATCCCCCAAATCCAACCGTCAAGCTAAAAGTAATACGGCCTGTTACTCGTCTCCGTGTACTGTAAGAAGGGCAGTTTGCCCAGAGAAACATAAACAAAGCTAGAAATCATAACTGAGCGTACGCACGAATGACTGTGAACTCGGGAACAAAATTGATGTGCAATGAGCTGAAGGCAAGTGCAGACCGAGTGGTCTAATCTGCATAGAAAAAAACAGCGGTTGAAGATCTTGCTGCCTTCACTTATTTACCTGATTTTGAACTGTCTGATGCATTCATATTTAACAATGCCATCTGTTTCTAGTCTCGTTCCGGCACTAATGAAAATTACCGTAACACCATTGCCTGCAATCCAAAGCTGTGCAAATTGTTCCCATTAATAGTTAATTTTGAAGATGATAATATCCTGTCAAGCAAAACCATTGTCTAGTTAACTGCAACAACTTCCATCTCGCCTTCCCATGCTCTAATTTTCAGTACAATCACTTATGATTTACACATCATTTAACTTACAACTACAGAGTTTAGTTTGCTCATTTATATCAGTCACCTGAGTTCACTTTAGTACAAGATCCCTTTGATTAATTTCTTAGACCAGTTGTTTCATTATCCATTTGCCCTTATGGTTACCTCTCAATTCACAAGTAGACCACGAGTAAAGTATAGGCCCTGGGATTTCCAGCCTACAGAGAATGACTGCAACATTCAGGCAGATGATGTTGTGTCACGGTACGGGAGTGCAATTGTAAGACTAATTTAAAAAATTAGATGTAATTTGTAACAATTTATTCAGTTGTACAGCAATTTTGTGCAACATTACTTTAGACAAACGTGCCGTGAACGCGTGCAACTCGAAGTAAGCCTACATTTTCGTTAGTTATAAGACTACATTAGCTATATAATACGGCCCTGTCCGAAAGCTGTAAGCTTGCTCCGGCCAAAAAATTAAAATTTCTAATTTTTACGCTGATGATCAAATCAAGAAACGCAGAACAAATTCTGTTAGAGTTTAATACGAAAATTTGAAACCTATTTTAGATTTTTTTTGACGCCTGAGCCTCCAGGTTTCTGAGCAAAACCTTTTTTGCATCATTGAATGTACTAATATTAGGACCATATGCATATATTTCTCTCACGCGGCTTCATCTGTTCCCCTGACGCCGAGTTTTTTATATGTATATACTCTTATGGAATAGACTTAAGTAAGTGGGTGGTTTATACAAGGGGGGACCCAAAAAATACTAGATTGATTTTTTTTATTAATCCAAAATCTTCATTTGGAATTTGCTGTACAACTATACTTACTCGTGCAAAACTCAAATTGCATAGTATATCAATATCCATTCATTTCATTCTTGAATTAAAATTATCAATTCTATTGATATCAATTTTTTCCCCAATTCCAGGGCATATTTCCTCTTACCCTCGACAGCTGGAAATTAGTTTTGATTGTATCAAAAAAATATGAATTAACTTGATTCAATCAGCAGCAATTATAGTTAGCGCGAATAATATGAATAATTGATCAAAGGCTTGCGAATAGATTTAGATAAAATGGAGCTGCAGGCACGCCCCTTCTACCCCTTATAAGCAGTTGCACGTCGTGCTAAGTATTCGACAAATTTATTTAAATAATTAACCCGCAAAACTTCCACTAAAAACATATTTCATGTTCGATACTCGCATACACCTATAACTAACTAGGCGTAGTGAATTGCGCGTAATTAAAAAAAATATACGGAGCTTAACAGCCCAGTAAGCATTTATAACAATTATCAGCACATATTTACCATCAATGCGCATAATCAAGAGAACAGAAAGGGAACATTTCTGTTATAGTTTTTTCAGTTCCATACGCGTATAAGTATGAATTCTATTACCAAGGTACAATAAAATTCTGCACGACTTCTGATCCTTTATCGAAGAAACAAAGCAATGAAAAATAATAAGTCCAACATGATGGTGCTCCAAATATACTATGCATGTAAGATGCTATAGTCGAAAAGAAGCATCAAAGATTGACGAATCCCATAGCGAGGTGCAAGCTTGATTCGAGTTTTCAAAAATTAGTATATTTACTGCAAGGTGCGCTTGTATTCACAAAGTAAATAAAGTAACCAACGATAAATATCGTCTATTCCTCTTACCAAGGAATGAAATTAGTAGTAGTTTAACTTAATTAGTGTAGTTCAACTTGGCATCCAATATATGATGGGAACAAAAATCTAACAAAGCAGGACGGTGCGACTGTAAATGACTGAACGCTTTTATGCAATTCAGAGATGCTATCTCTAGGATATGGCATTGTGGGATCCGTTTTTAGTTAAGTTGGACACTCGAATTCATGCTTTGGATAGAACATATCTATTGCAATGTTTAATCTTTAACTAGCACGACTGTAGAGCGCCGGTGCGCTAAAAATAGAAGCGTAACATGCATCACGTTAAGACGTGCCAATCTATTGATTTCGACGTTTTTTGACACAGCGGGAAAGCTGTGTAGCGCACTGGCGGACGCAATAAACATCGACTGTAAATAAGTAATATTTAGGGCTCGTAACAATGTGATGCCCATAAATAACAAAACTCCACTAAAAAAAACTAAATTTAAGAATTCGTTTATGTCCTTTCTAAGTGAATAATTTCCACCGGAGACTAGGTTCAGGTCTAGAAAGTAGAAACATAACCATTCTATTTAATGGTTATAGAATATTATATGGTTAATGGGAATATCTCCGAATATGATTTACGCCACGTAAATGGGTCTCCAATCATACCTATTTTCTTTCTGTTAACGCCTACCAATATTGTAGTCACTAGAACTGCAGAAATAAAATTGTGGTCGTACAGTACTCGATTTCCTCTGGATCAATCCATCCCATCGCCATCGGGGTCTCGTATATATCTCTCTTCTCCTGTTGTAATTGCCATTCGACGCTACCTGCAACACAAGACACGTATCAGGTTTAGAAATTTAACTTCAAATTGCCAATTGTCGCCGAATCTATCAAGACACTGTCATGTCAGTATCAGATGAATCATTCTTGTTTTTATACACCGTGTTGCAAGGGATACACGAAATGATTTAAGAATTTCAATAACGGTTGAGGTAGCTGTAAATTTTTTGCGACAAAAAAAAAATTAGAAAACAGAGAGGCAACACACTTCCTAAAGGTAAACAAGAAATGGAAAAGAGTTCAAAATCAGAGATTTTCTAGTAGGTAGACAACGTATCAGTATTAACGAAACCGTGTCAGACTGGGCATCAGTGCGCAGTGGCGTGCCACAAGGAAGCGCTATCCGGCCTATTTTTTGTCGCCTTTATAAACGATCTTTCGGAAGTAGGGTCAAGCGTGTGCACCATTTATGCCGACGACACAAAGGTTTATAATACGATAAAGAAGCGTTAAACAAAGTGCAACTCCAAAATGATCTTGATCGGTTAGTTGTCTGGGCCGATACGTGGCAGCTGAGTTTTAATTTTGACAAGTGTAAAGGACTTCACCTCGGCAGGAACAATGAAAAGCAAGATTACAGTATGAAATGACATAGTTGCAATGTGAGAGTAGTGATTGAAGTCTACCGTGGCAAAAGATTCGAGAGTTCATGTCGAAAAGGAGCTGAAAGGCACGTTGGAACTTCTAGGCATATTGAAACGCAAATTATAAATAAAGACTGATCAGACGTAACGAGTTCCCAGATACAGAAGCGATGAAGCCTATATTTGTCGCTGTCGTGCACCCGAAACTAGAGTTTGGAAACGTGTGGTCACCGAAACTTGAAAAGGACAAAAAGTTAGTCGAGTGTTCAGAGACGTGCAACAAGTTAGTTAGATTAGTGGCCACATGTTTACTAGCGCTTCAGCTTTTTAGCTATCTCGCACCGAAAGTCATGATAAACATCACCAAAGAGGTGTAAGGTCTCAATTATCAAAAGTTTTTCAAATCAAAAATTGTTCATCACCCAAGAGGGGTGGAAGGTCTCATCTCAAAGAGACGTAGTGACATGGAGGGACAGGTGAAAAGCAACAGAAACGAAGACACTCGAACAAGAGGTCGCTTACACGGGACGTCGGCCGCCCGCAGAGAGACAGAAGGGAACTGTAAGGAATCCTACCTACATAATAACTTAACCCCACAACTGAGATTTGCAGTCAGATACTGCGAGTTCAGCAGTTGGGCGCTCAGGAACAATCCCCTAGGAGCGCGAAATCTCATAGGACTTCTGACGAGCACAGACAGGCGTCAGAAGTCCACCTTGAGAGGGACGCGCAACAAGGATAATTTCAGGCCTAAAGAGGATTAAAGAAGAAAGATTAAAGATTATGAAGCTTCCAAGCCTCCGTTATCGACGTCTGCGTGGTGACCTCATTGAAGTATACAAGTATACTCATGATTTAGTCCCCAGACGGATTACTAGAATTTGATAGAAGAATCAACACCAGGGGGCCACAGTTATACGCTAAAAAATATGCCACAGAGGCCACAGTTATAAGCTAAAATATGTTGGTTTTGGATGCCGTGCAAAAAAAAACTTTATAAAATATCACCTGCTCCACCCTCTCAGTTTCTTTTCTTGAAACATACATTAAAACTCAATTTCCGAGAGTTTGAGGCAAAAAAAAAAAACAGGAATTTGCCACAGGTGAAGCTGAAATCCAAGCATGAATGAGACTGAATGGAAGGTAAATTCTCAATAAATTCTGACCATGAGGATGAGGCAGAAACTCGAAGCAAGTCTGGGCGTTGACGATCAAGGCTCCGAACACAGGCGTCGCGGGGTAGATCCTCTTGAACATGTTCAACTCAAAACCAGGCCCCTTTTGGTCATCCTAAAAATGAACAATCAGTAGTAAACTCTGCTTGCAGCAACCATTTTGGTCATCATACGGATGAGCAATCAGTAGTAAATAATGCTTGCAGCAGCCATTTGGGTCATCATACGGAAAATTAATCTGAATCAGTAGTAAACTATGCCTGCCTCAGTCATATTGATCATCATACGAAAAAGTAATCAGTAGTAAACTATGCCTGCAGCAGCCATTTTGGTCATCCTACAGAGAGCAATCATTTATAAATTGGACCTGCTGCTGTGATACTCAATGCGATATAGAGTGCATGAAAAAAAGCATTTTGCCGCAAACGCAACACCGAAAGGGTGTTGCGTTTGCACACCCAAAGAAGCTCACAATTAAAACACGCGTGAACCATAAAACTCAAGAGAAGCGTTCGCTGAATATTGGATAGGACCTAAGGCATTATATACATACATTAACGGCAGAACTTATCAGACTCAATGAGATAAGAGTAACCTACGGAAGGAATTGACGAAGAGTTTAAAAAAAGTAGCGCCTAGAGAGGAGGTTAATCAGATCATAAAATGATTGTATGAATATTAACATTAAGGACACATTAAGGACACATTTGCTGACCTTATCTTCGTCGTGTTTGCCCACGTGAGCAAAGGTGAAGAAGGCTCCGCTGCGCTTGCATGGATCATAGAACTTCAGAAACTGCAAATAACACTAATAAGGAAAGGACATCACCAAAACATCACATCTTGTCATCCAGCGCATCAACACCAAGCGACTGACCTCACTTCATATGTAAATTTAGTATTCAAATGCCCATTTTTAATAAGAAATGACATAAGCTGAACTGGACTATCTCTTCATAAATATTTTTTATGACGTGTGCACAAAAGCTTTAAATTTTCCCCTTAGTGCACAAAAAGTTTCCTCCTTTAAATTTCCCTCTTAGTGTTTTCCCCTTTAAATCCCCCTTAGTGCACAAAAGCTTTAAGCAAGGAAGGCTGGTGCTGAGTTCAACAACCTAGTAAGAACTTGTTCTACGCAAAGCAACACCTGTGTTGGGTCTACATGAGTAAACACAAAGCACCACCTACGTTTGGTCTACATCAGTAAACACAAAGCACCACCTACGTTTGGTCTACATCAGTAAACACAANTTTAATACCTAAATACCAGGCACTCGGTATTTAGCGTATTTAATACCTAAATACCATGTCGACATTTAGTGTATTTAATACCTAAATACCAGGCACTCGGTATTTAGTGCATTTAATCCCTAAATACCAGGCACTCGGTATTTAGTGCATTTAATACCTAAATACCATGTCGACATTTAGTGCATTTAATACCTTAATACCAGGCACTCGGTATTTAGTGCATCTGTCTCTTATACACATCTAGATGTGTATAAGAGACAGACAGACAAACACCACCTATGTTTGGTCTACATCAGTAAACACAAAGCACCACCTATGTTTGGTCTACATCAGTAAACACAAAGCAACACCAGCGTTTGGTCTACATGAGTATCAGTAAACGCAAAGCAACACCTGGTCTACATGAGAAACACATAGCAACACGAGCGTTTGGTCTACACTCTACGTCATACAAAACTTTTATCTATTCAAGATTGAATACGTCAGGATTATCTCAAAGGCAAAAGTCTTCTGGTAACTCACACTGTATTGATGAATAATGATTTAAGTGTCGTAAATTACTTATTGTTAAGTAATAGAAGAGTATTAATGTTTTAGATAGTGTTGAAATAGAGATCATAGGTTGGCGGATGAAAAAGATTATTGGGTTAGTGGATTTGAGAAATATTTTGGCTCAAAATTAGCCATGATTTAACGTCTTTTTGTGTACCAAATTGAACGAAAGATGACCATGTACCTCATTTTAGACGAATATCTAAGGTGATATATGTGACATGTCGAATTTTAATACGAATGTTAGTTTTTATCAGTAAATTTGAACCTGGGCGCTGCCATGACACCACGGTGATTAATCCCTGCTTGCAAAGATCAATGAACGACTAGTAAGCCTCCACCCTAGCAGGCTGGACAAGAGACGCAAATCTAGACGGCTACGTACTACATTACAAACAAATGAAGTTAAAACAATGTTAGAAACGAGTTCAATCCGCTGAAAAATATTTTAATCAAGGAATTTTAACTTTAGATGACTGGAGAGGCAGATCGTCTAATGCATACACATTCGTCACCTTAGATATGGCATCACGTGTCATGTTCTCGTTCTCTTTTTTCTGGCGCGCGGTGATGACCACGCTTGCGGCCGTCACGTTCTCACCACACACCGCCATGCCGATGGTTCCTGAATGAGTGAATAACTCAAAATCACAATTGTACATACCCCTGCATCTGGATAGAGTAGAATATACTTAGAATATTCTTCAAAATACAACAGTCTATCCAAAATATAGAGTGATAATTTTTCTGGCGAAATAGTCATAAGATATTAACAGAACGAGTGATTAACCAAATATCTCAGAAGAAGAAAGTAACAGAACAGACTTCAATACAGAACTGCCATAGAAAAATATGCAATCCTGTACGACATCCTGATATACAGTGGGGAAAATAAGTATTTAGTCAGTCACCAATAGTGCAAGTTCTCCCACTTAAAAAGATGAGAGAGGCCTGTAATTGACTTGTGAAGTGGAGTAAATCACAGGTAGACCGAAGTCAAGGTATTGCAATAAACCTATACTTTGAGTTCTAATTAATTTTTGTTTGAGAACTTGTGGGGGAAGATATGCATGATACGCACCAGCGTCGCGAGACGAGTAAGTTGTTGTAGGTTGCCTTTGTTTATAATGAAACAATAGTTCTATATTTTTGATGAAGCAATCAAAGATCAGGAAGAACGAGTGTCACGAAAAATAAGTTCGACCTCATGAAGCGATGGTCATGATAAGAAACTTTTTACACTTTGAGAAATCAGTGGAATTTTGTCCCAATTGCGACGTTTTTCTTGCCCTTTTGTTAGTCATATTGTATCGGTTTGGCACGGCATTAGGGAGCATCGGCGCAACGTGCAGAATGTTGCAAAATTAGGACAATATGACCTATTCTTGTTTCCTTGTGTAGGCGCACACGCATCTGCAGATACCGCAGTGCAACCTTGCAGCCTTTGCATATACGATTACTAACATCCTTTCAATTTTTACTATAGACATTCAGTAAAGAAAAACAGCATTCCTTGGAAATAAAATCCATAAGAAGCACAATTAGGATTAATAACTTACCATTCGCCTTCCACGACGGATGTTGGAGGCGGAGGTTCGGTTTTAAGACGGGAATCGCGCCTTTAACCATACTTCCCACCACAGCCACGTTGCCCTGCTCTCTGCTCAGTGGAATAACTGTGAGCATAGTGCATGAAACTCGTGAGCATAGTGCATGAAACTCGTGAGCATAGTGCATGAAACTCGTGAGCATAGTGCATGAAACTCGTGAGCATAGTGCATGAAACTCGTGAGCATAGTGCATGAAACTCGCGAGCATAGTGCATGAAACTCGCGAGCATAGTGCATGAAACTCGCGAGCATAGTGCATGAAACTCGCGAGCATAGTGCATAAAACGCGTGTGGAGTCCAATTATGTGCTCACAGAATCCAATGTGGAGTCCAATTATAGCTGTGGGCACAGCGCATGAAAGTCATGCACTGGATTATTTTGCTAGAAGTGATGAGCATTGAGCCATGCTCACCTTTCGATAAGCGCTTCCAGATATCGCCGTGGTGGGGACAAAAAATTATCGTGAAAGAAGAGCACGGCTCTGACCCGATCTTCCCACGGCAGGCATCCGTCCCACGTTCCGTGGATTTCGGTAAGATTCTCCCCGGGCAAGATGATCTGCAGTATCAAGGAAAAATTTGCAATATGACTGAACAAACCATATAAATATTCACGTCAACTCATTTTATTTTCCAGCCTTTCAAATTAATACTGAGTAAGCCAGACGATGGCGATACAAGTGTTTGAAAATTGAACAATAAAAAAATTGTATTCAAAATACTGGTATTATGAAGCTGTCATTTCATTTCAATAAAACCTCCACAAAAACCAAACGAAAATTCAACTTGACAGCTCTATAAGGACTGCAGAAACCCCCTGAACTAGCTAGCAACTCCTCCAACAGCTTTCATCTTGAAGCTCGCGCTGAGCCCATCATTCATTCTGGTAATATATTCTGCCCTAGTTAAGTCCAACACAAACTATTAATAAATTAACCTTATCCGGTCAATCAGTTAAGTGGGTTTGTTGATGTAATTGCCCATATTGGTAGTGGCGAATATGGAACGGGGTTCCATATTCGTTAATATGTCTGCTTTTATGGCACTAAGGCCATAGTTAGTTCTACGACCATCACTGGCTCGCTGACCAGCCAGAACCATTTTATTGCGTAACACAACACTTTGGTCAAGCCAGGTACTCATTATCAACTAGAATTGGATGAATGTCTGAGTTGGCCATCAGCTGAGCATCCCCATAGAACCTGTCCTAAGTGGGGCTCGAACCCGGGTCGCTGGGTTTGATCGGTGTTGGTGCTCAGCATATTTTAACTTGCAGTGCGCAAGAATTTTTCAGTTTCAAATTTTTGTATAACTAGTTATAAACAATCCGTGATGTCGTGAGACCTCGATAGGTGAAATGGTAATTAGTGAGGTATTAGTGTAATCATTAATCAATTAGTCTCTGCAGGGCTTTCACGCATGATGATTAAACTGTCAAAAGATCTTAATCGACTTGACATTGTCAGAATGTCACTTACCCCCCGGTGAAATTTCAGAGGACGAAAAGTCACCCCAGTTAATTTTGGGAAACAAATCATGGCCAATTGATCTGTCAGCTCTAAGTCAGCATTAATTTGCACAAAGCTTGTGACCCCACGATTCGCCTGCTGAAAGTCTATGTCGTCGGCGCAGCGGGCACAACTTGATCTGGCCTTCTTGAGCATAGCTTTCACCATCAATTGCTCTTGCCGTAAGGATGGCACCAAACTTTTATCCACATCGGGCGGAGTTTCCGCTCCATGATTGGCAATACTGTTGTCAATATTATGAGCATCTGTGTTATCTGTTTCAAGGAGAAGCTTGAGAGTGCTTGAGGGAAGTTTGGGCAGTTTGGGCAGTTTGCGCAGTTGAGATATCCAGTTTGGGCAGTCGAGATATCCACAAACTGGGTAATCTACAGTTTGGTCGTGGATTAACCCTTCATCTGTATAAATGAAGTCCATTCCACATCGTACTTCTATAATAGAGCACGTTGGCGGCAGGAGTTTAGAATCTGCCAGCATTTTTTCTGCAGGAAAGTTATGATTAACATGAAGTCCTCATCATAAAAACTATCACTCAATTTTCAATGGAATTTGTTCATTTTGACAGAATATATAACCAAAATTTATAAGGCATCACAAACTTGGAAAGTATCAAAATCAGTTGTAAATAAAATTGCCTAAGAACAGTCAATTAATTTTGGCACTTGGCTAATACTCATGCCATCATATTTTAAAACGACAGAATCTTTCTATAGCAGAAATTATCACCAATAATTCAAGTTCTCACAAAGCATTAGTATCATGTCAAAATCATTAATAAAAAATTGTATTCACCAGCATCAAATTCGCACATGAAACTCAGCACCAGACAGAAGCTGGGCAATGATCGCCATGTCTCTGCCCATGACCAAAGCCGATTCTCCGTTTGAAGAACATTCTTGTATTCTCTCTCTTGTATTCTGATGTTATCTTTTTCAGGCTGCAGGTATAGTAAAACATATACATTTCTTTTGACAGGCCATTTAACCAAGCAAAAGTAAAACAACACCATACAATTTAACCAAGCAAAAGTAAAACAACACCATACAATTTAACCAAGCAAAAGTAAAACAACACATGATTAGGCGAGCCAAGTTTAAGCCATTTTTATCAATTGAGTCAAGTGTTAGATAAAATTTTCAAAGAGTTGTTTGCTGAAAATAGAGTACTATATATAGAAATATCACTGTATTCAATTATGCTTAAAAATTGTCAGGTTTGTATTTCAGTTGTTTCCGACTAGGAAGCAAAAATTAGGCAAAATTAAAAAAAACATGTTGATTCAACATGTTAAATTAATACCAAAGTTCAAATTACTTATAAACATAAAGTTTAGCTAGGCCAATCATAAAATTTATAAAAAAAATTTGTCTCAAAGTTAATTTCTCCAGCAATGATGACAAAAATTGCTCAAACAGGGCCCATGACTTTGGACAAAATTGGAAAACTCTCTAAATAGCTTTTGACATGAAGGAGATACCTGGTGGCAACTTTATCCAATTTAATTTCATTGTAATAGGTTCTGAATGACTGTAGAGCAACTTAAGGTACCTAGTAATTAATATAAAAGACAAGCTACCTAGTAATATATGTTACAATGTAACAATTTTTAATGGGCAGGGTTTTTTGTTATAAAGTCTTTTAATATATGGGAAATATCTTGTTGCAATGCAGTATCAATTTCAACATACAGAAAAAATTGAGTTAACATAATTTAATTTGATTAATTTAGGTGAAATGTTTCAAGAAAAGTTTATCTTCAGGAAAATTTACAAATTAATGACCTCGCAAGGTGGAGAAGGTATGGATATGAAATGCAAGTTTTTTCGTCGCTGAAGTTCTTTGATGCCAACAGAACGCCATAAGCGGCACAAGCGTTGGAGGCGGATCACTTCTTTTGCAGACAACGCACTCAGAATGCCCTGGAAGTAGCGATATCATTTGACACCATCTAAAATTGGTAGTATGGAATTGAGTAGTTGGTTTATGCCAACATGTTACAGCATCACAGAAAGCTTCTGATCCAAAATAGGACAAATTGATACTTATGTTATCAACATTCAGTTATAAAATTAGTAGTATAATTAACCTGATTAAATAATTAATAGAACACAATTGACTATATAAATTATTTTACCAGCTGTTTCCAATACTTCTGCCAAAAAACACATCCCTATTCCAACTATAGGAATTCCATCTATGTAAAATATAGTTTATGTTATAGAAACAAGAACTTTAACCAACATGCTGCATAGAACATGCAACACAAACATAGCAACATAGAAATATAACCTACCTGAGCAATTTCAGTATTGGTGCTCATGAGAACCCCAACTTTGGTTGCAAGAGATGGTAGATCAGATTCCGGCACCAACTCCAGACCCAGAGCAGCACTATTGAACTTCTGTGGGTCTTCCATGGTGATATCATAAAGTTCTAGGTTGTGAACTAAACTTTAGGACAAAGAATGACAATCAAATATGTTTTGCAACTAATAGATGTAGCCTTTTAATAGATTAACTATTTATTCTGTCTATATTGGGAGAAGAAAGTTTATTCATTGCACAGTATGCAAACAAATCTGTAATCTGGCTGAAAAAAAAAGGATTCACAGAGAGAAATGGGTAGGTCTGGATGACCCACTAAGATGAGTCAACCGCGTCTAAACAGCCATGCACATTTTTGATTCACTCACCCCATTTATGAGTCATACTGACCTATTATTGGGGTAGGAAAGTGCCACAACTTGCCTGTTGCTTTGCATATTAGAGCTAAAGCCCTAGAGCTTTCTACATCCCACTATACAGTGAAGAAGCAATAGTGCATTTGTCCAGAGCTTCAGGGCACTGACAGAGGCAGCTTTCAGTATGGAATTCAAGGAAAAAATTCTGGGCACTCTTAGCATCTCTAAGGCCATACCCAAATGGAACCAGGTTCTCCTCAAGGAGTTGCAAATAATTTGGCTAGCTAGCTTGGCAAAGTTTCCATCAAACAGGTGTTTTTTTTCTGGAGACTTAACTATTTTAATACCAATTTTGCAGCCAATGGAGAAATGATTCCCTGATCTGGTCCTTATGTCAAGATGGCTTGGGTAGACAGGCTTTAAATCCAAATGGCCAGATCAAAAAAAGATGGAGTAATGCATTGATAGTCTATGTAGGTGGAAAAGCTACCATAATTCAAGAGACATAACAGCAAGGCCTATATAGCTGCTTCTATGGATCTTTCAGTAATATTGACCTGCCTGTAGCATCCCACAGGAGAATGGGCATTGAAATCTCCAACAGCCACAAGTTTTTCGCCAATTTAAGGAAAATAAAAATTGGCTTCATAGGCCATATTATTACCTGGCTTATAAACGTTTCCAATAGCAATCCATCCTGGAGCTGTGTTGATTTTTATAGATAGGTATGTAAGATCTGAACCTCTTGGAAATGAAGGAATTTTAAACTGTTGTCGCTATACGTTTTTCTGAACAATTGCCATGCCACCCCTTAAAGCATTTTCTCAGTGTGACCACACTGCATAATAACCAACCTAAGAGGGCAAACCATCGTGCACTCTTATAACCAAGAAAATAAGCAACCAACAGGCACTCGTAACCAAGTCTTACAGAGACATACAACATCAAGCTTTTCCCTATATAGATAAAGCTTTATTTCAGACAGTTTCCCATGCATGCCATGACAGTTGTTTGCACAATTTCCTAGCCTAGCTTCCTCCCAAGAGAACAGGTCAGATGCCAAGGCTTCAGTGCAGCATGCTTTTTTTTTATTTAGGTGATTTTTTCAGCTTCTTTGTCTTTTTGAAATGTTTTTTTTTTATGTTGCAATTAGCCTAACTAACAATAACAGTATATGGATCATAATGGATGGCTAAAAAGGGCACTTATTGCCATCAAGAATGGCCAAGGTGGTGTTTACCACTTTGGGACTTTTGAGTAAACAATTATTGACAAGTACAGTATAATCATTATAGCTTTGTAAAGTTTGTATGGAGCAAGGTAACAAGCTAAATATTGCCCATTTATCAGGCTTCAATATACAAAAACACTTCAGGAATGCAGATCTTCTAAACATTGAAGAGTCACATAACAGATAGGCAGCTGATAGCACAGTGCACAAAACTATTAATAGATCTACTAGTTTTATGTTCTATAAATCAACCAGACTCTACCCTCTAAACACACCAACTAGTAGTAACTTAGTGACTGACTTCACTGTTGCTATTTGATTCAGACCAATAAACCAATATATAGTCAGACGGGGTAAGACAGGACCGAAATCACTAACAAGCATGTAGCATCTGTACCATGAATAAATAAAAAATCCTAAACCTATCACAAGGTGTAGTTATGCAATGGGCTTCAAAGCTACAACTCAGACTTTTTGCAAACAACAAAGTTTTCTATACAGATTAAAAAAAGTGAGCTGGTCCCATCTTACCCCATTGGGGTAAGATGGGACCAGGCTGGGATAAGACAGGACCAACTGGTAATTCTTATGTTACAAGGTTTTTAGTAAAAGTACAAATCCGATATTCAATATTATCCATCTAGAAACACATTATTTGATTAAACCACCACTTGTTACTGTTTTATGTTGCAGGAAGTCAACTCTAATAACAGTCACATTGGTGTTTTGTCACAAGAAAACTGTTAAGTATAGTAATAGTAGGTTGGCTTTGATTCATTGTAGAGCACTGCTAAATGCTACATGTATATTCCATTAGTGTCATTGTCTGAAAATTTATCACATTGGTAATAAAACCAATGGATAATAACTTAAGAGTCAGACATCATGCATTTTCTTGCTAACTGTATTTGTGGTGCACTTCTTCAAACATAGCCAATGCCCTCTCACAAAGTTGTGATAATAATTATTTTTTATGTTTCATACAATGATTTTTCCCCAAACCACTCTTGCACATGGTTCTGCAGCTCACTAGTGGGAAGAGATGTCCCTGTTTTCTCCATCCCCTTGATGCAATTTACAACAGTACACTAAATTTCTGTAATTAAAAAAGCTATCAAGTTAGAATAGTTATTTTAAGTAAAAGATAAAAATGTTGACCGAAATACTTCATGTATACTTATGCACAATGATATATTCATTCAAAAGCTTTTTTTGATAAACTATGGGGTAAAAGAGGACCATTTGTGGGGTAAGACAGGACCATTTGAGATAAGATAGGACCACTTGTGGATAAAACAGGATCATTTAGTGGTCCAGTCTTACCCCATGTCCAGTCCTTTTTTTACCCCATTTTAAAATAGATGTCAGGCAGTGATGGTAGCAGGTAGGAATGCCTAGTATGTCTCAAAAGTTGCTTGTTACTTGAGGTTACCTGCCTACATCCACAAACCAGGCCAAAAATTCTCTTGTAATGAGACAGAGCTTATTTCCCAAACAGGGTTAACTATTTTGTGACCCTTCTTGACATAGGTTTTCTTTAATAATAATAATTAATCAAAAATTCATTATTTGCAGAACAAAGTTGAAACAAACACTGAAATGACATGCAATGATTACTCTAACATATTCTTGTCAAATTAAATTCAGTGCAATTAGAATGCACGCCATGGGCCGGTCCTTTCTTACCCCATGAAGGCTGCGATCCTGTCTTACCCCATTTGACTATATACTAAACAAACTGAACAATAACCAAAAAACCTCAAACGTCATGAAACGAGACTCATGTCATGAGAAAAGCTAACACTGTTTGAAATAAACATCTGCACAATTTGAACATTTTATTTATATTCACTGCATTTAATTTTCTTATATATATATATTTTTTATATAATTGTAATTGTTTTATTTCTAGTTCTAAATCCACATTTAAAAATAGATTGAAATTAAATATTTCAATTAGAATACTCATATTAGGGTTAAAAATCTTTCTACTTGCCTAAAAGGTAAATACAATCTCAACCTCTCAATATATAAGCTAGCTAACACATTTCAATTGCATATTGTAATCAATTATTTTATTCAATATATAACAAATAGTCAAGTAGTTAAAGACTGCTTATAGCCTTATGTATAAGAATTAGCTAAGCTGCTACCTATGTACAATGTATTGCAACACTTGATGCCCCTCTACCAAAAAAAAAATCCATTGGAACCTAATACACACTTAAGGCAACAGGTTTATATTCCAATTTGTCATAGTAGCAATTTCCTTCACTTCCTCTACACTATCTGTCAGACTAGGATCAATTGGACCAAGAACCCCACAAACTCTCACATCAGACCCAAGCTGGTAGCAACAAATGGGCCATTTACCTATCATACTCAAAGTCACTTTGAGAAAATTGAACATTTGTTGCCCACCAAGCAAAGGTGATTCCAGAGTAGTTAATTGTCAATAAGGATTTGAATGCATAATCAGATAATTCAGATTAGTTACTAATGGTTTCAAAAGGCAAGTCCCAATAGGCTACAGGGTTGGCATTGATTAAATCAAACTGATTAATCATGTGATTAAATTATTTGATTTTTTATAAAAAATCCTGATTTTTTTATACATTTAAATATATTGAGTGGCAGTCTTTAATTTATTTTGAGGTATTGTTATTCATGGTTTAGTAAAAATGTACTATGACAAATTGGAATATAAACTTGTTGAATTTAGTGTGTATTAGGTTCCAATGAATTGTATGTTTTTGGTACAGAGGCATCAAGTGTTGCAATACATCGTACATAGCTAGCAGCTTAGCCAATTCTTATAAGGCTATAAGTAGTCTAACTATTTGACTATTTATTATATATTGATTACAATATAAATTTAAATGTGTTAGCTAACTTATACATGGTGAGGCAGAACCAATTGAGCAGTTTTGAGGCAAAATAAATGTGTAATGGAGGTACATAAAGAAGAAAGTTTATTTTCCTCAAACTTAGCATAACATACCATTCAAAATACTTGTGTTTTGAAAATAAAATCAGGAAGATGGTGTCTGTTAGCTGCATCACACTGTTGGAGTAGTTCTTGGAAGTTTCCTACAGCACGTTCACACATATGGCAAGGTATGGCCATAACCTCTGCTACAATAATCTGTTCCCTTGGCTGTGGTAGGGTGTGAGGGTGACTTCTGAAAACCCTCTCTTTTAGATGTCCCCAAAGAAAGAAATTGCAATTGCTCAAATTAGGTGACCTTGCAGGCCACTGTAAATCACCCCTCAGAGACACCAGACATCCGGGAAACATATGTTTCAAAACATTGAGTGACATTTGGGCTGTGTGAGCTGTAGCCTCATCCTGCTGGAACCACACGTCTCCCAATGCTTCATTTTCAACAATGTTTTCCATCCTGGGCTGCAAGAAATTTTGCAACATTGCAGCATAGCGTTCGGAATTGACTGTCATGGTTACTCCCTCCTCCGAGAAAAATTTCAACAGTGTGTTGCAGCTAACGGCCACCATCTTCCAGATATTATTTTCAAAACATAAGTATTCTAAATGATATGTTATGCTAAACTCGAGGAAAATAAACTTTCTTCTTTATGTACCTCTGTTACTCTTTCATTTTGCATCAAAACTGCTCAATCGGTTCTGCCCACACTGTATATTGAGAGATTGAGATTGGAT